CTCCTTTATATTTTTAAACCTTTATAAACAAAGGGCATCAGCAGGTGCTGTTCATATTAAAACCAAACAAAAAACCGCCACGGCCCCAGTCCATGGACAGTACCGTAGGGCAGGACACAAACTGTCCAACAAATATTGCAGTGCTCTTTTTTAGTATTTTTTTCTAAGGAGAAAAAAAAAAAAAGTAATTTATTGGAAAGCGAGATTGCATTGTGCTCATGAAGACAAGCAAAGAATCACATTTCAGGACTTTCCCAGAACAGGAAAATTTAAGAAAGAAGCATGGGGCAGGGTCTTTAATAATAATAATAAAATCCTTTGAAGTACCTTGTTTAAAAAGACAGCATCCCTTCTACAGTGCATTAACATTGTAATTAGCTGACTTTATCAATGAAAATAAGAATTTATGGCTATGGCAGGATTTGTTCCAATACAATGTAAAGTTCTTAACTACAAAGCTTGTTGCATGGCCATTTATTCTTTTAATTGAGGTCCCTGTTCTCTTAGGTCCTGCCCACCTGACAGTTAAATCCAAGTTAATGAGAGCTAAGTGGAAACACCAACCATAGTTAGCAGTGTCTGAAATACAGAAAACTGAAAAGCATTATTTTCATCAGAAAAAAAAGAAAAAAATTCTCATTCACATATACTTTAAATGATTTGTAACTAGCTCTCTATAATAATGTTTTTAATTAAACTATTGCTCTAAATTTCAAATTTCCTTCTACCTCTTCTTCTCATACCCTCCCCCATGAAAAAAAAATCTAGGCTAAATGTTTATAAAACTATTTGGGGATAATTTGATCTGCTACTAAACCAGCTCTATTTCTGCCACACTTTCTGAAATGGTTTTCTTCTCCTTTCTCATCGGTGTCTTTGGGCATTGGATCTGTTGCACCACCCTACTCCTACTGAAATCAGTGGCAGGAACTGCATGCATAGCCATGCTTTCAACACCATTTGGGTTAGATTTCTAAACATTAAAAGACCCAGCAGAAAGATTCAGGAATATCCTGAAGTGAAGGTATCATGCAATCCTTCATTGTGGCACAGCGGTCACTTCTAATGTTGAAGGCATGCCTGACCAGTCACATTTCTTTTTATAATCTGTGACGTGGATTTATACATGCCATGTATAGATACACGCACTCTTACTACGTTTTGCTATCGCAGCAGTAGCACAGGAATAGGAAGAAGCTACAGCTCTAAGCTGGCCAGGGCATGGCCCACAGTTTGAGTTTGAGCATTTTCCTTTTTTTTTTTTTTGGCCCAGATGAAAACAGAACTGGGTAAAGCAACAAGTTCACTCAAAACCAGATGCTTTCTTTAGAAACTTAGTCACAAAAGGTCAGACCTTGCTTGCCCTTCTGACTGTCAGACAGGCAGACAGTTGTGGAGAGGTGGCAGGGCCTGGCCGGTTCTTCCTTAGCTTTACAAACCTGGTCACCCTCTGGGGCGGGCTGCCCTCCGTACCGTACCGCAAGGTCTAGTCAGCCCAGGGTACAGCTCCCAACTTAGCTCCAGTCACCTGAGAGAGATAAGTGGGGGAAGGTAGGCATTTGACAGAACCATTTTGAGAGGACTGCTCCCTGCAGAGAGCTTCCAAGCTCTCATTAACTACAGCACTTCCACAGCTGAAGGAAGCGGACAGAGAAGTTCAAAAAACCAAAGAGGAGCTATAAACAAGAATCACAGAACTGAAAGGTTTCTAGAAGAAAATGGGAGGTCCCGTAGCTCAGTTTTAGAAAACAAGTGCCTATTGCGTCAGTGCATTAAGGTCAGCTGCCTAAATTTCTTTGCCTAAAGCAAAAGCAGAGGAAAGTATACCAGATGTCTAACAGTCACATCCTGTAGATGTAAAGAGAAACACCTTTGGGATGTGAGCTTTCAGGTGGTCATTTCAACTTTTCTGTAATCTTGATTTTCATGTAAAGTCTTTAAATGAAAGCCCTTTTAACTCACATTACAAATCATGGAAACTAAATGTCCTGTGCTTAGCAGGAGGAGGAGACAGTTAACTTCCAAGAGTGCAACACCTGATCCAAATTGCTCCCCCCCAAATTCAAAGTTAAGTTGTGCAAGTAACCAAACCCAGCCTAGGCATTCTGTGGGAGTTGCATTAAAAAGACAACTCCAAACAAGTTGTCCGCTTATAAGGGAGGTTGAGATGGGCTCTTAACCAAACTACACATCCAAATATTCACAGAATTTGAGGAAGACAGTATTATTCTACATTCTGGTGCCGATTCCTGCCTTCGCTACAAACTGGGTCAAAATTACCAGAAACTTTTAGCAACGATTTAAAATCCTGATTTTGCAACCTACCTCTCCCTGTGGAAAACTAAAAGCAAAGCCTGAAGGAACACCAAGCCAAAAAAATCCTTTCAACAACAACGTATAGTTATCTTGAAGACTATAAGCATTCAGGAGCTACAATACTCCAAATTAAGACTTCATTTTGCAAAACGCAAATCAAATCCAAAGCATTGGATCTGTCCCTGCAGCACCACTCTGAGGACAGACTTACTGAGATTAAGGTCCTATTTCTACAGCCCTTAGTGGGAAGCTTCCACATCATAAAGAAAAACTTTTTTCTCATACATATTTATGGGATTTGATTCAGCTCCAAGATGGCTGTTTTCATCCACAGGCTGCCTTTCAAGCACCATGGCTCAGTTGCTACGTTCACAAAGTAGCTGAAATTAACCAAAATATATGTTGCTTTAATTGGCTTGTTATAAGCAAGAGAAACATGAACACATCTCTCTTCCTGGGAGGTTTTGTCAACTATTTCCTCCAGCCTGGAAGGACGAACGTAACATCCTCAGCAGCAATTAAGTTCAAACATTTGGGAATCTGGGCTCTAAATCGCAGCTTAGAAAGAGCTCTCTGCCCAGTGTTCATTAAACGCTATGTGCCAAACTATTGCTGCTCTCCAAAAATCTCCTCATAAATTTCCCTATTGTCATTTGAGGAGAAAAATAGTAAGCTTTCCAGCATGGAGTAGATCAACAACAATACAGTGGAAATACTTAATCAAGTTGGATTCACATGATCTATTTGAACTGTAACTCTATAGAATAGCTCCCCCTTGCTAACCAGGGCTGCTCTCCAGCGGACGATCGTTCATAGTCACTTCCTTTAACAAATCTCATGTACACACTAAATTCGACTATTGCCATGGGTAGTACAGCTGCACAGAATTGCATAGTTATACTTTCAGATTACTTTACACACTTTTTTATTGCTAAGTTAATGCAAATCCTAATCCACTTATAGACAGCAGTTAACATTCCTGTTGCTGCAAAGGGGATATACAGTCCTCCTCCATTATTAATAAAGAAGCCTGCCTGGCCAACCCAACAGAATCTTTCTGAGACCACCACCCTGAAGACAACAGAAAGATTTCTACGTGTTAGGACCAACTCTACAGCACAAGTAAATGCTTGGATTAACAGTTATATACCTGATACCTTTGTGCAATCTAAGACTTTGGCAAATAAGCCAAGCATGACAGCATCGGTGAAATTTCTAGAGGGAAAAATCATTAAGCAGGACAAGAGTTGAAAGCAAGAACTAAGCGCACTTTATAAAATCTGCAGATCAGCCATTTCCATATCTCATTTCTCTTAAGGCAGATATTTCAGGCAGGAAGGTCAAACATACGGTTTTTAAGACATTCATCTTTGGTTTGATGCTCTGTCGTTAGAGGTATGAGGCCAATTTCTATGTTCTGACTTAACACAAGGCAAAGCTCTCTGGAAAAGTTCATGTAAAAAGCTACTGCTCATGTAAATGCAAAGCAATCTAAAGCTAACAGTACTTTCACTCAAACCTGCTAGAGTTGGTAGCTATGACTGAAAAAGACAATGAACTCAGGCAGGCATATATTGCAAAGCTGTATGTAATGGAAAAAAATGAAAATGTCTTATTGCAACTAAGTCTTTAACAGTTTGAGCATATTTTTTTTTTGCGTTGAAGTTTCATTTCCCAAAACAGGACATCATAAACCAATGAAAACCGTGTTTCTGGAATTTACATTGAAAGATGCTTTCTTATTCATTCTACACAGATGCAAACAACTAGGATTCCTTTTGTTGAAACGGCCTACTACAGATGCACAATGAGATCAGCTGTAAAAAATTTTTCAGCCACAACAGTAATTTCACTTTGTACAGTTATTCTTAATATATGCTAGAAAAAGTTAATACTCCCGGAAAAAAAGTAAGAAATGAGAATAATAATTTTAGTTTTATAGTTTGTAACTTGACAGTCATTGGCCACATATGGAAACAGGCTGCCCCTCTTGATGGATCAATGACAGGAGGTATGTTAATTAATACAGCAATAAGCCATCAATACAGTATGCGTAAGTAGGATGTTATACACCGAGCCTGGAAACAGGATGGCAGAGGGGAACAAAGGCAGGACTGTCTTCAGTCCACAGAGAACTGCATCACTAACTGATTACTATACACTGTGGTATGAGGCTTTGACACTGAGCTCATTGCTTATCTCAAGAATTCTTTTGACAGTATCTTTCAACTATGAAAGATGCTTTTTTGAAGGGAAGAAATTATAAACCAACATCTTTTCCACTGTTCTGAGAGGAGAGGCTTTAGGAACATACCAAGAATCTCTTATCTGCATCCCTATTCCCTCCCCCCTTTTAAAATTCTCTGAATTATTTGGAACCTATTTTTCATCTCCCTCAAAATACCATCCAGCAGACATCTCAACAGGGATTCTGAGATCACTATGCCTGGCACTCTACAGAATGACTTCTCTCTCTACAAAACAAATGCAAGACCTTATCAGTCTGACAGGGTGGAGCAACACCAAATGATACTACCACCTGCACCCTCTTGCTCAGTGGTCCAGATGCTGAAGGGCATCACTGCAGCTGCATAATATTTGTTTTCAGATAGTGGCCTCAGTGCAAACTAAGCCTCTACACATAGCCTTTCTAAACGCAAAAAAGACTCTATGATGCATTCATACTGTATAACACACTTTTGTTTTATTCAAGCTCTTTCAAAGTTAGGCCACATAAGTTGCATGTAAAATTCACTATCTGCTACAAAGGCATTCCAGATTTCCATTTCCCCAGACACTGGGAGGCAGGCACACAACAGTCTCACACTGAAAATGTGAGGAGAACTAGTGGCTGAAGTCAGTGAAATCTATTCTGCTCAGTCACATCACAGAAAATCAGAAAGAAAGGACTCCACAGGAGTCAGTACAGAGTTACACATGTAAAAACAGGAATGAAGACAGAATTAAGACCATTCAAACTCAAATCACACTCTAGAGATCTGCCTGTTTGAAGGATCAACATATCCTTAACCCAAATTATTTGATTTATTATACATTCTCAAGTGAAAGTTTGATGAGGTTGGCTCAGAGCGACTCTATTACTCAGCTAGGGATATGTCAATCCAAATTGCCAAAATACAATAAAACAGTCAATATGCCCCATTACTTATGAGGTTATTAGTAACATCTTAAGTCCTGAAAAGAAAACTTTTACTGGAGCATTTGTACATTGGAAGATGCAGCAAAAATGTTAATCAACGCTCATATCACTTCTGCAAGATGGAGAACAGTTTTCTCTCTGCTTTGCTAACAAAGGAATTCATACAGGAAGCTGCAGTGACTCGGGACAGTCAACCAAAGCAGTGAAAGACAATACGGTTAGAGTCCAGGACTGCCTTCCACAATGCAGCACGTCACCCAGACCACTGAGTCCAGGGTCCAAGCCTCTTCTTGTTTGCATCAGTTACAAATTTTGTTTCTTTCAGCAGATTTTGTACTCCTGATTTACATGGATAGGAAGAGGCAATACCACTCTCCATATATAGGGCTTGAACGTTTTCCTTATCCACCTCGGACATCTAGCCCCAAAATAGTCCCAATTGCTCTGCAAGTGGGGAAAAATTACCCTTCTCTATGTTAATAAAACATTAACATTCTCTCGCTATGAGTAATAGTGCTCCTCTGAACCAGCCTCGTGCTAGAGGGAATCTTCATCCGTATCGATGTCACTGCTTGGTTTATTCAGTCTCTCAAATTCTTCTCCATCCTACAGGAACCAGAAGCAGAAGAGAACAATGTGAGCAAAAGTTATCTTGTTATTAATACAACAACAAAAAAAAAAAAGAGTAAAGTTCATTTTGAAGGCATCACTTATATAGAAATCAAGACCCTTTAATTTAAATCTCTTACCAGTGTGTTATAATCTTGCTCTAGGATATACATGCTCATAAAAAACATCCCCTGTATCTTTAACACTTTTTAGTGACTCCCTCCCTAAAACAGCTTGTAGCCCATTCCTTCATCAGGAAGCCTGCTCACATAGTGCTATTTGTTTTTACCACAGCTGCTCAACTGCTAAAATAGATAATGCCTGGTATACCAAAAATATACGACTTTGCGTTATTTATGCTTGTTAAACAACAACCTAAAAAGGCACCATGTGGAATTTCTGGAAAACATCTCTCCCAAGTTTAACGTTTCTTAGAATTAAATGGAGACAGCACTCTCTGCTGGTTGCAACACGTATTACAGAACACATCTGTACACAGAAAGTACACAGACATTAACCCTTCCCCCTTAAGGATTGACTGCTCAGCTCAACTGAATGACCTATCTAAGAGCAAGCCCTCCCTGCCATGTTCTATTTAACTAGATTACTATTCAAATTAGGGCAAAAAACACAAACGGTCCTGGGGGAAATGTTTCATAAGAAAAAAACATGTTAAAACTCTGTATTTATGCATTACCTTTTTGTCTTCAGGTGTTAAGGTAGAAAGAATCTTAGCATCAAATACATTAACTTCTTCATGATGTGGGCTCAGCTACACAGATTTATCAGTTCTACTTAAGTACAATTATTTCCCAGGCATCAATTCCAATTTCTGGATGCCCAGGGCCAGTAAAATATTTCGGTTAGAAAGGTTTCAAGAGAGGATTTGTACAAAGCGAAGGGTGCTCACAGGACTGTCTATTGTCACAGCAGGAAAGCAATGCTTACCTAGGCTTCATGAATTGAAAAAGTGGAATATGCAAGGCAATACCCAATCAATTTAAAAGATTTTAAGAAATACTGAGAAGTTTTAGTGTTTGAGTTGAGGGATGAGTCCGGTCACGAGCAAAATGAATCTTCCAAACGCTCCATAGCATAAATGGAGGTGAAACAAAAAAGAAACCAGAAGAGACAAGTACTGAAAAGCCTTACCCCACTTGATCTCTCCCATGCATCTCCTTTGACAAGTTTGCTCCTTTCCCGCAGAGTGGCATATTCCAGGCCTCTTGGTTTACTGGCATTATAGATGAATATGGAGAGAAGCACTACAGGAGCTTCTAAAAAGAACTCTAGAGAAGGCCTGAAGTCAAAGATGACGAAAGAGGCGGTGGTGATGATGACAGTGGTGATCTGAGCAGTCATAACATGGAACATATTGTCTCTGAACTTCAAGATGAAGGCTACAGACAGCCCCAGGAAAGCTGTGACAAATATGAGAGCCACCGAGAAGATGTTGTGCCCATAAAAGAAGCCACAATTCCCTATCTGCCTCCGGTCCTTAGCCCGCAGCCCCAGCATAAGCCCATTGAACAGCACCCCAAAGGCATAGAGCTTGCTGTTCTGCATGAAAATGCTTTCAGCAAGCTGATCCCCATCTTTCAAGATCTTTTCATTGTAGATGTTAGCCAAGGCAGAAATGAAACACTGCACTAGAATAAGCAGATGGCCCAGGCTGAGGCGGAGAGGTTTCAATGCTCCTGCCATGGTACTGGTGACATTCCACTGGAAGCTGGGAAGGAAACTTGGTGCTTCGCAGTTGCCCTTTTCCAGGCATGCTTCCTCAGGTCCGGCATAGAGAAGGCAGTGGTTAGATGGACTAAAAAACATACTGTGATGGAATCCGTGTGCAGCCAAGCTTTGCTGATGGCCTCCAGTTCCTAGAGTCAGGGCAACGATGGACAGGAATAAAATCACCAGAGACGCCCATTGCACCCAAGAGAATTTTCGCCTAGGAGTAGACAAAAAAAAGCCACCAACTTTAGAAACACAGTGGCACAAATTAAATGACAGGAGAACAAGCTCTATAAAACACATAAAAGACATCACGCCACAGATAAGGAGACAGATGCAAAGAAAAATCTTGGCTTTTCAGAATTGACAGTAAAATGCCAAAACACGGCATGCTTTTCTATGGCAAGGGGGGCCCAGTCTGGTGACCACAGAAATACAAAATGGAGTATTCTGTAGAGATAATTTAAGGCAAGTCTTTCAAGATCATGTTAGTTCTAGATACTGACTGTCTGACAACTTAAAAGCAACTGTTGTCTCCATGGGAACACAGGTCTGATGGATAAAAAGAAATCAAATACATTCAAATAGTTACCCTCTTTCTTTGGTAAACTTTCACTACATTTCATTTTTCCCCCCATGATTTTGTGCCCTTTTCTAGTATTTTATGATGGTAAATCATATACATCTATGACCGTAATTTATAAGACTGTTAGAACTATTTATACTATTTTTTCATTCAAGCAAAGCCTGTTTACCTTGGGGAAAATCAGAAATCTGGAAGATTAAGTAAACTGTGACATCACAAGAGACATAAAACTAAGCAACTGAGAAAAAGCATTTCAAGCCAAACTACCAGACACTCTTTTGTTATATTAACACCTGAGAAAAGGCATCTTTTCTCCACATTCAACACAAGTGACTTTTTGAGTAGAGCGTGAAGTTAATATCCATTTCCCTGTCAGTCTTTTCTGAATCTAAATCACACCATAAAAAGCACAAATCAGGCGAAGTGGAACACATAGGTCAGAGAGCTTGGCTTTGTCACATGAATAATGAAGAAGGGATATATAATTACTTTTTAAAACATACTATGCAACTGACCAGAAACACATCAGGGCTGGCACAATATTACTGAAGACACCTCTATCTTTCACTCTTACATATCTCATCCCCTCCTGTTAGATTACATTTATGTTCAATTAAGAATTACAACAGACTGGAAAGAAGTACTGCTAATCATGAAATATGAGATTTAACGTACAAATGAAAGTACCCAAAACTTGATTCTGACCATCCAACAGCTATATAATCATGATTTCAGTTGTTTTCTATTACAGTTGACCAAATGCGTAGAGATATGTAGGTACTCCTAAGAAGCTATTATTTCCTACACCTTCAGATGTAGAAAACAAAGCCATCTCTCCAAGTTGGTATAGCCACAAGAAAACAGAATTACTGTTCCCATCCGACAAAGAGAAAGAATGTAGCTTAATTCCTTCATCAAGGCTGGGAAGATATAAAATTTCACTTACTTTAGTAAATACTACTTACTTTAGCACTATCCTGAAGAGAAGAGCTGTTGTTATAATGACGAAATTTGAGAAGAGTACAGCCATTGCCTAGAAAGAGAAGAAGGGGAACAAAGTTATACTCCAGACATAGTGTGGACATCAAAAGCCCACTGACTTCAAGTGTTCACCTTTCTGCAAGGTGCCAGAGTGAAAAGCATCATCCTGGTACTGAACTTTTCTTCCTTACCCAAGTGGTTGAACAACACACCCCTAAAATTACATTCAAGTCCCATTTCAAAATCTCAAGCAAACCACAGAGCCTAAGTTCCACTGTAGTGGGCACAGCTGTACAGAAAAAGACGTGAGGAAACCAATCCAGCAGAAAACTTACTTAACAGAAAAGAAAACGGTTTAGTTTTCTGTCAGATCAGTTCCCCAGCCAGGCTGACCAGTCAGCTGCAAAAACAGCTCTCGGCGCAAAGGAAGAAGTTGCTCCAAAATGAAAGTAAGAAAAGAATAGGGGAAGGCGAGGCTGCTTCTGGCTACAGTGCCAGCCTGCAGCGTTCAGGAAGTCTCAGACTTGGACAAGGCACTTGCAGAAAATAAACTTCTTGCACATCAAGTGTGTTCGCTGTATCATTTATCAAAGGTAAGGAGGTGCTCGGCTTGAATTTTCAAGACTGCAGCTGTACTAAAAAAATTCGCCTATTTCAAAGTACAACTGAAGACAACTCTAAAGCTCCTGTCTAATTTGGGACTAGCTGTATAATAATGACAGTACCCGAATCCACGGCCATGATCCCAAGCTGCAAACTCCTGGTGGCGAGGATTGTCTTTTTGGTCTCTGTATTAGACACTCTGTACTGGGACACTGGACCAAGCAGAGGCTCTTTAGGCACTGCAGTTACCATTAAAGATCAGAATTTGCCAGCACCAGTGGGGAAAAAAGGTTCTTTTTGGGTGGTGGGGGTGTTTCTCAAATTGTGTTTTATTCAGGACTGCCCTGTGTTGTCAGTAAACGTACAAAAACCTAGGCATCTGAACTCTTTCCTCCAAATCAGCCTTAGAGTGCGATCACTTTTTTAGACAATTTTACACAAAAATATATATGGATTCAGAAGTGCATAACACAGACTTTATCTTGAACTTTCTCATCTGCATTTCCACATTCCCAATTCTGCAATAGCAGAGCCTTCTTCATTTACCAGAGGAAAAGCACAGGCCCTTTTCCCATTACCTTAGTTCTACTCTATTCCAACATACTATCTGCTGAATAATAAATCTCATGGAACAGCACAACACAGGGTCTTCAAGTAAGCTGAAGACTGACACGAGACATCCACTTCAGAAACCACAGCTTAATTTTCTGCTTTGCAAGATTACAACTCAATAAATATTCATGTTAGGTGAACACTGTGGAAGGAGAAAAATATTGAATAAAAATGAACAAGTGAATCTGGAACTAGCAGAAACCACTTTGAAAAAAGAGGCTTCATGCAGAATGTACAAATGTTCCATGTATACTCTGATTTTCTTTCACAGCCAAAGCTCCCCATCCAACATCTCTGGTAACATAATATGTTCAAAATCTACAGCAGGATAGTTACAAGGAATTAATTCTGTGTTGCTTTGTTCTCTGAGGCCTCAAGGCACCTCTGTCCTAGATGAGGAGGAATAAGAAAAAAATTTACCAAAGATGACCATACCACTAACTTACATGTCACAAACAAAATTTCTAAAAAATAAAGTCTTATCACTAGAAATGTTAGCTACTAAAGAGTATCCATAGTTACAGCAGAAGCTTCAAGCAAAAAAATCTCACCAAAGCACATCTATACTTCAAGCAACTGCTCACCCAGGTATTACTTAGTCCCAAACCTACTTAGTTTTTAAAGTCACATGAAACCAAGTTCAGTCAGGTACAGCCGCCTTCTTTCAAGCATCTTGCCTCTACCTTTTCACTTTCACGGTCTCGTACACTGTCAAGGTATTCTATCTTACAGGTATTTAGTTATCTTTTTAATACTTATTTACCATGATAATGTTACAATTTCAGCTAAGCCTCATAAAATATATCTGGTTAAAAGGTATAAGACACTAAGAGTTCTAAAAAAGAGGAATCTTGGAGCACACGTTCTGAGGGGAGAGAGACAAGGTGTGTGGGTGTGTGTAAAATATAAAAGCTGTGCATTGTACAAAAGATGACCTTAACTGAGCCAAATCAAATTGCTTAAGAAAGCAATGGTGTTTATGTAACCTTCTAAACATCAGGCTTTGCTATTGCAAACTTTACAGCTGAATTTCCTTCCTAACATAAAAAAACCAAACCAAACCAAAACCCCAAAAAACCCACACAACAAACCACAGAACCAAACACCTGTGCATATTATTTTGAGATATCCAACTGAATTTAATTAGATTCTTCCAGCCAGGTCCTATTCTAGACTCTGGTCTGTCTCTGACAGAAATGTACACCTGAAAGGACAATATTTTGAAGAGAAATTCTGAAAGAGAAGGAACAGAAACATTTATACTTATTCTTTTAATGTCAAATGGGTTGTTGTGTTTTATAGCAAACACTAACCATCTGTTTCCTTCTAACTTCAAACATAGATTCTGAACCAAAAGTATCCTAGCACGAAAATAAAAGAAAGCACAAAAACTGTACTATTTCCTGAGCATATGTAGATTCATCCAAAAGGCTGAATGTAGCTAGAAGAAAGTACCAATTAAATTTTGTGCTTAAACCTAACTAGTAAACAAATGCAAAAATTAAGAGTCAAACAGTTTTCTTCCTCCCCTCCTCAGTTCCTACTACACTTAGGAATCCCTTTGCGGGATTACATTTACTCACTTTTCTTTGGAGCCAGTGAGGAAAGAAAAGAAGTCATCCTGTGACGTCACGTACATAAAGCGGTAGAAGCTACACAGAAAAGTGCAGCTCAAATACTAGCAAGATGAGCAAATGCGTTGAAAGAGAAACACAGAGTTGAAGAAACCAAAGGAGGGAAAGCACCGAAAACCTGCTAGTACTTAAGCAATTCAGCCTACTTCTAAATCACTTCAGACGGAGGAAATACAGAGAGACTCCCCTCTACTGAGAGCTGTACCACACTGACCAGCGGGCAAGAGAATGGGAAGGTCTGGCTGGTCAGGTAACCGATCATTCTTTTACCTGCAAATCTTGCCTTGCCAGTGTTACAACTGTAGAGAGCCTAAGGGCAATGTTACCTGTCACTAAGACATCAGAAGATAGCTTATTCAGTATATGTATACTTACTGGCTGGAGGTAGGACAGTACGTAGAAGACAATCAAGTTATCCAAAAAGTAAAGAAAGGCAGGAATTGACCATTTCATGGAATTACAAAAATTCTTCCAGGAAAGACATTCAAAGGGATGATCCAAACAACCCTCTGAAAGGAAAAGATATCGGTAAGAAGGACATCCTTCTTATTATCAAAAGCCCATTCCCTTATAACAGAATAGGTACCACTGTTCTGTTTTCAAGCACACTGTTGGACTGAAAAAACTAAGGTACCATAGCCCTCTGGCAACATAGAAGACAGATTCAGGGCAGAACACACAGCTAAAGCAGCAATCCTGCGTCTATGGGCATTCATCTCCTTGCTTCAGCAGAGAAAACATCAAGGAACCTTTTACCACCATCAGAGTATTTGTCCACCGGGAGCAAAAATTCAATTATCAACCATTCTTTGAGGGCCAAAAAGCACCCCAAAGTCCCCACACAATAGCGACATCATTACTGGGTATGATTTTCTTACGATTATCGATCAAACCTAGAAATGAAACAATGACACAGAGAGCGGATCTGTTCATATAGCACCCAAAGGGCAGCCAGTAATATCAGAAATACAAAATAAACCAGAACTCAGTATCTGTAGCACACAGCACATGATCTAGGTAAAAAAAGAACATACAGGAAGAAGGAAGAAAGAAAGGACAAGGCACAAAGAATGACATTTACTTAGGCATTCAGAACACACACTTTAGGAGGAAGACTGTGATAAACCTTAGACTACTCTAGAGTTGGTGACAGAAGCACTTTGTTAGCACAGATTTAAGACTACACAACGTTATCTAATCCTCTTCCGAACCACCGACAGATTGGTCGGTGTCTGAGTTCAGCAAAACTCAGACATCTGGAAGAAAAAAAAAAAAGGAAAAAAAGAAGAAAAAAAGAAAACCAAAAAATGTGTAATCAGCAGTAGCCAAAGATGGCAAACACTGACTGCATATATTTACTGTCTTAGGTGTATCTGTACTAAATGGTGGAAGTAAAAATTTCATCAGCTTGCCAGAGCCATGACTGTTAGATGGAGAAGTGGAGAAAACCAGCAGTTCAATTTAACATGAGTCTCCAGTGTCTAACACCCTCTTCCAATTTAAATGGCTGTTCTCTACCATTCTGAAATGCTATGAAGTTAACCTCCCATCCTTTTTACATCAGGACAGAAAAGCCAAGAAAGAAAAAATAGCCTGCAATACAAAACCAGTAGCTAGTGAAGCCTGACACCGCTTTTTCTGAACAGCAGCTCCAAGATTTGTCTTCACAACAAAGCTACCTTGAATTATAACACTGATACGTTGCTTCTGACTCAAATACCACTACACACACACAAAAGCCTCTTCAGTGGAAGGTGGTGGTGCTTTCATTTAAAAGTGGTCAGAACCACAGAACATAAAGGTCAATCCTTGAGTTAGTGCAATTTATAAGCTGCTGTTCAGTCATGACTTCACAGTGAGGTGACTCCTATTATCCTAGCACAATGCTGCGTTAAAATTCTGAAAATGTTAGACTGTGTGTTCATTACACTTTCTAATTCAACTTACCTGTCCCCATTTCAGCTACCATACACACAACTCAAGAACACCGGAATTGACAGCATGAAGCAGAGTTATAAAAGTAAAGTTTAGTTGTAATTCTGCACGGAGGACACAATTCCAGTGAACCTTACTAGCAGAACCTACTCCGTACTACTACATGTGAATCTATCATTCAAAAAAAACCAACAACAACAAAAGAGATTTGAAGTACAGCAAATCCTAGAAAGTCAACACATTTTAGTTATTTTAAACATAGGTACTTACCTTTTTTCTTAACCCATAGCGCCAATACCACACACAGGACCAGTTTTACTACTTCAGAACATATGTTCACTGTTGTAGGAAGGTAATCATATTTGTTCTCTGTGGGATTCAGCAAATCATAGAGAGTACACAATCAGATTCTGTCTCCTGCGTTCATAATTAGAGCAAGAAACTATTTTAACTGCTCCAGTCGGAATTTTAGCTACTTTCCATAAATGCAGAAGGTTATGTCAGCACTTTCATTATAAATATTCCAATATTTATGATATACAACCTCCTGAACAGTCTACTTTCTGGGCTGAAATCTTTCCTCATTTGGTCCCAGTTTACAGCAGAACTTTTTGGAAGAACTCAAGAACATCACTGTTTTTAAAAAAAAATGTAAAAATGGGAATGTTTTCCCCTCACAAAAAACAGCTTCCAGGACGACACAACCTTCTTCTAGAACTGCATCTTTCCTTTATTAGTATATTTTGCTAATACTTGGCGAAAGGAGAAGCAGTAATACTAGCCAGCTACAGCATGCCCACTACGATACCACTTTTCTCCCAAGCCTGTTGTGAGACAAATATTTCAGTCAAGACGTGCCATTGATAGTGCTTACACAACACTTCAGTCTTTGACAATTAGCTATAAAATAATTCACTGCCTCATCTTATCACTTTAGATTAGACCAGTGACTATATAGAAATTTTCCAGAACAGAAGTACATGTCACTATTTATATCATAGAATGTTTGTGCTGAGAACTCCGCAGGTGGAGAACTAGGATTTTGGCTATCCATTTTAACCCAAACATCAACTCTTTCTTATTTGAGGTACATTATGTTTGTTGCCCAACAGCACCTTCATTGGCAGAATACTTCATCAGGAGGATTCGACTTGAGCCCAACGCAATATACACTCCTCCAAGCAGAAAGGTGTAGATGGTTGCCTTGGAGCAAAACACAGATTGACTGCAGCACTTGGTCTTCATTCTGCTGTCTTGCTGCCGATGCCCTTTGGACGAAAAGATGAAAATACACTATAAATAGTACTTCCAGAAACTGGTTAGACAAGGTGAAATGTGTGTATTTTACCACTTTGTGTTATCTTATGCAAATATGCTTATATCACAAGCCATCATCTCATTCTGTAGTTATCTTTTTCTTTTTTATTTAAAAAAAATAAAATTGAGAGAAGGATATGCTATGAGGACCAGCAAACAGGGATGAACAATGTATACACAGTCATTCAGAAGGTGGCACAAAGAGGCCAGTTTGTCCTAACAGTGGATCTATGGAATACTGATTAACTAAAAGGATTTAAAAAATTACATGCTTATTTTTCTTTAATATTTTTTTAAAGCGTTCTTGCTCCTAATTCCAGCAAGGGAAAGTTTTACAGCTGCGGAGCGAGAGCAACATCGCCGAGCCGACCTGCGGCTTACTCAGCACCGGCTTGTGCCCAGGAGGCAGGGGAGGAACGCGGACTGCCGGAGGCAGAGCCCCACCCGTACCCGCGTTCTCCCTCTCCAGCGCTGCCGTTACTCCGCCGACCC